GGGCTGCGGGCTGCAAATAATCCACTTGACTACGGATCTATCCAACTGTGCGACATGTCCAAAACATATTCCGTACGAATCCAAAAAAAGTAATATAGGAGGTTCCATGACCAAACTGACGATAATACTATTTTTTAGAAAAACAAACGTACGTATGAGGGAGAATGTATCATTAATTTATTTTGTGCTATTATTTATTGTCACTCAAAGTACATATGAGTTACAATATCAGTTGGGGGGAGGGGGCACAACAATCCATTTTCTGGCCATGCATCGTAGAATATTTGTTAATGATGGGGGTAACCTGCGTAACCTTTCAGAGTCACCAGTGGACTCGTCCAAGGATGCGGCGACTGAAAGTTACCTGGGATTCCTACACAAAGGAAAGCGCGAAATCTCTGTATAGAAACTGATCTATGAATACATGTGGACGTTTTCAAGATAAGCTTAATTTTTGTGTCTAGAAATATTTTTATCTACCAAAATAATATATTTTCGTGTTTTAAAACCGAGTAAATCGATGACCTAGAATCGTTTTAGATAACTCAAGCCCCTCTAGGGCTTCAGTTAAAAGAAACACGTACAAATATGAGGCGTGTGACTTCACTGATACCCTATATAGTACTGAGTATGAGGCCCATGACTTCACTGACATCCTATATATCACTGAGTATGATTCCCGTGACTTCACCGACACTCTATAGATAGTTTTCGAGGGACCTAAATTTAGCAAAAGTTACCTCCCGTTGGCTGCCATACTGGGGGTCCAAATGCTCATATGCATATTCCTTCATTGTTCAACCAATTTTAGATTTTTATATTTTCGATTTTGAATTAGGAATCATTATTTTTCTGAAGTATATAAATTTTTGGAAGCCTCCTTTATTACAAAATAATTATTTAATAAAGATTTTCCACCAAATATTTCTGCTATATTTTCCTAAACTTAATTGGTAAGAAAAATGACACTATATAGTACTGAGTATGAGGCCCATGACTTCACTGACATCTTATACATCACTAAGTATGAGGCCCGTGACTTCACTGACACTCTATATAGTAGAAAATATGAGGCCCATGACTTCACGACACTCTATATAGTACTGAGTATGAGGCCCATGACTTCACTGACACTCTATATAGAACTCACATGTTCTACCCCCAATAGCAATTGTATACAAGGAGCATATAAACCATGCCTGGAGCAACATGTAGCGGATTTAACAATACTGTGCTTTGTATGATGTGCCTACAATATTGTTTTGTTCTTTAGAATACCAGATGAGCTTCTAAGTGATGATGAAAGAATGCGTATGCTGTATGGATCCGTGGTGAAGGAGGGGGGACCCAAGGGGAAATGCTTCACTAGTATTTCTTCCCTTATAGTTTTTAAGCAAAAATTATAATTAAACTGATGAATATTAAGATTGCACATAAAATAAGCCCAATCAATTGAATGTTTATGCTGCAAACACAGGAAGTATAGATTCTATGATGACAATTCCTCAGCAAAATGGTATAGATGTATATGGAACCTTTGAAAACTTTTGTCATCAAATGTATTCAGCTCAGTTTATGACCCTAGTTGTTGAATCAAATAGTTTTCTACTTTCTTTCAAAACTGATTAAACAGAGTAAATTTTATTTTTCTGGACGTATAAAGGTATTCATAGCTATATGTTTATTAAATAATATATTTTGTTCACTCTGGGAAAGTCCTACATTTAGATTGTACGCACATGTACAACAATTATAGAAATTTTATTGAATTTATATTTATGAGTGTTTAAATATAAGCAACATTCCTTTGCAAATGTTTGAATTTGCATTCATGTTGTAAAAGCATTTGGTGTTGGATATGATTTTGTTACTTCGAGTAAAATATTCCCTTTTTTGGGGGTTGGGTGGGGTTATTTTTTGCCAACCTCAAATGTAGCAGATAAAAGGTAACTATTACACAAGTTATAATCCATTACTTGACATGTGCATGTATGAAATAGGTATTGTAAAATCACTTATTTTTGTTTGACAATATCAAAATATACAGACAGTTTTTCCCTATATATACATAATTCTCTGTTTTTTTTTAAATATGCTAAAATCTGCAGAATTTCTTTGTTTTTAAATATTAACATATTTTGATAAAATTATTCACTTTGCATAATTCATAGATTGTGTAACTCATTTCTTTAACCTAAAATGTTTTGATAAAATTATTCACTTGGCATGATTCATAGATAGTGTGACTCAATTCTTTAAAAAGACTTCTTCTCATAATTACAATATACAAGTAATTTTCTTGGAATAATGAGATTTTTTTTCCTCATATTTATGAGAAGAGATCTACGTTGTTATAGCAATAATAAAGCATACTTTTTTCATTTGATGCTTTAAAATAGACTTTTATTTTCATAGTTTTGCTTTGCAGTCATTTTTATTCTTTTTATAAATTATTGAATAATTATATCCTCAATTACAGGGAGAATAAATGAAAGATACACAAACTTCTAGTGAAAAATACAGTAGCACACTATTCTGTATTTGTTGATTGGAGATATTTAATAATGTTAACTGTGTTGTTATCTTGTCCCACATAAAGATTGTTCTCATCATCCACACATACACTACTGGGAAAAGATACTTGTTTTGGCGTGATTAGTAGAGATAAGAATTGACCATCCTTATCAAGAAGGTGAATATTTTGCAGATCACACACCAGTATGTGACCGAGGACATCAGTACAGATTCCATGGGGACGAAACTTTGACTCCTGACCAGTGTAGGAGAATCTGTGTTTTCCTACTTTATTCACCACCACTACTGCCATTTTATCATAGTCTGATGTACAGGTATTGCCATCGATGTTTTCTGTGATGTAGTGTGGATATCTATACAGTCTTTGTCCTTTGTTATCCCACTGTATGTTCTGCAGTTCTTTTCCTTTCTTGTTGTACCTGGAGACTTGAGCCTCTCCACCTGTCACCATCCCCACCAGTAAGTCCCCATTTGTGTGAGAGGAGTGTATGCAGAATGGTATCCAGTGTCTTGTTTTAATGAATTCGGTAATATTGTTATCCAGTGTTATCCTATTAATGACTTTGTTGTCCATGTCTGTAAAGATCAGATCTCCGTCCAGTGTCACGGCATGGTAACCATTTACACCACTAATTTTTATTGTCTGTAGCTGATTCCCCTGTAGATCTGTTTGGACAAGATTACCATCATAATCACTTACCCAGAGTCTGCCTGACTGATCTAGTGACATATGGAATATGTCGTCAACACCTGGAACAGTGAACTCCCTGACCTCAGTGACAGAGGACGATAAAGACACTGTTTTTTTCACATTAGATGTTAGTTTACTGTCTTTCATTACTTGATAGTTTGTTGGTTTCAGACTTCAGAGATAATGTACAACGTTTTTCTTTCAGGGGTTTTCTTTTCTCATCTCTTCTTTGTTTGGAAAAGTTATCTTTCCTAGCTAGTAATTTGGCAATATCTTTTTTGCTGTACTTTCCATTACAAAGAATTTCTATATCCTTGGTGGGGTGGATCTTACATTTTTCTGTGGGCACTTGTCGTTTTCGTTGTTGGTATAGGACTACTTCATGGCTTTTTGTCTGTGGACTTCTTTGATGTGTGTCCCTGCATTGTTTACATAATCTTGTGTCACAAAGGTTGCAGTAAAATTCACAGTTTCTCTCACAGTCTTCAATACTACACTCTTCGAAGTGTTGAGATGTACCTGGTAATTGTGCTTTTGACAGAGCCATCTGCAAAGAGTCTTTAAATAATATCTCTGGCAAATTGAATTTTAGATTTTGAAGAGGTTCCCCCCCCCCCCCCCCAAATTGCTGTAAATTTATTATAAGTATTGAAATGAGTCAATTTAGTTAAATCTACAACAAGTAAAGACTCAGTTCATAAAAAATTCTAGACTAACATCTTTATGAAAGTATAAATTGATCAAAACAGTACAATTTTTTAACTTACTGTATATCTCCAATTACGTGACTTTATTGATCAGCAATTTTGAATGCATTTATACCTTTGAGTTTAAAGTGACGCTGGCGATTTAATTCGTAGTTGGTAAATATAGATTTAAATGTCTTTGTAAAATGAAATGATAACATTTACAGTTAAACCTAATGTCATGCTGCTTCATAAAATCCAAAAACAAGGCTATTTACAATACATAATTAAGGAATACATTGTAATTTATCAAAGCATCTGATTGTGTCTATATATGTCTGAATTCATGTCTTTGAGGCATTGTTTAGTGTGACTTCTAACCTAGTAACTTCAGAGAAGTCGCCAGGACACTTTTTGTCAGCCATGCCTTTCTGCAATTTACACTGATTTGAAAATCTAATTTACATCTCCCAGAAAGTAAAAGAAATTGAAATATTCAATATATTAAATAAACATTTACTGTGATTGTTTGATTGTTTGTTTTTAACGTCCCTCTTGAAAATTTGTTTTCACAGTTGTCATTTTAATCTGAAAAAAAGTTTATTTTCTAGCTGGTGTCAGTAAAAAGTTTCCATAATTAATTAATCATAAATCTCTTTGATATTACACTGGATAAATAAATAGCAAAAATCACAATAAAGTTTTGTTTTTCAAAAGTGTAACATTTTCGATCCCTACTTTTAAAACTGGCGCGAAAAAGGGCGCTAGTTTAGAAACTTAGATCTTATAAAAATATTTGGTTTTCTATGAATGAAGTTTCAAACTTTTCAATAGAAATGATTTAATTTGTAAAAATAAGTACGAAATTAAATTGCCTCTGACCTATGATACAAGGGAAACGTGTGGTTAGCTCAAAACCTGTAAAATCTTTTTTGTCGTTTGCTACTGTCCACAAAACCTTAAAAAAAATGGTGGTTGCAGCATAAAACATGCATGACTAACTACAAAAAAACCGTATTAAAAGATTGAGGGGCAATATGAAAACAATCTATCCTTCTGTGTTCAATAATCCAGAATTAAAAAGAAATAGATAGATTACATGATCAGTACGTACTGGTCCCTACCGACAAAGCAGGAAACGATATTGTCTTCGATTGTAAAGCTCATTATACAAATTATATTTTAGAAGAACTTGGATTTAATTCTACAAGGTGTAATCCTGCTTATACTCATACTTCTCTCTCTGAGGAAGGAATTCTTTAAAGTCTTATGTCAGTTTTGAATATTTTTAATATTTCGCAGAGCCAAAACGAATTTAAACTACCTTATATATATATATATATATATATATATATATATATATATATATATATATATATATATATATATATATATATATATATATTGAATTCCGAAACTTCATAAGAATCCTTACAAACAAAGATACATTGCGGGTTCCAGTAAATGTTCAACCACGCCTCTTTCGTTACATCTCACTTAGATATTGACAGAAATTAAAGAAAAACTTCAAGGGTACTGTGCAACAATATATTTAAAAAGTGGTGTGAATCGGATGTGGATACTCAAAAATACCAAAGAACTTTTGGACAATTTGAAATCACAAGATATAATCAAAATCAACAGCTTAAAAACTTACGACTTTTCAACTTTATACACAACCATTCCCCACGATAAATTAAAGTCAAGACATTTTGATATCATTGACAGCTGCTTTTTCAGTAAAAATACAACTCGTAAATTCTCTTACCTGGTAATTGGTCATTTGCAAAACGATTTCGCTAAAACACACTCTGGTTACACACATAAGTACTCTGCAGTTGACATCAAAAGGATGCTTGCTCGAGTTTCTGTTGAAAAAAAAATCTATGTGGTTTTGGAGACCAGGTCTTCAAACAATCTGTTGGAATTTCCATGGGTACCAATTGCGCTCTGTTAATAGCAGACCTACTTTTGTATTCACATGAAGCAGAATTTGTGCAAGATCTTATGCGTGAAACTCGACATTTAGATATATAGACGACGACGTATTGTCAATTTACAATCATGGTAATTTCCATCCCTGCGTTAATGGTAATCTAACAACCAAGCTGTATTATAAATGTGTTGACTTAAACTTTTCTTTCGTCAACTTCCCTTACTCACACAGCAATAAACCTTCATCACCTACAAACGAAGTGTATATATCGCAGTTGATTCGATACGCAAGAGCATGCTCTACGTATGAACAATTTCTTAAACGAGGTAAATCATTGACAAGCAAGTTGATGAAACAAGAATATTCGTTTAAGGTCATCATTTCGTCAGTTCTATGGTCGATACATTGACCTTGTCAGCAAAAACATGTACAATTTATCATTAAGTCAAATGCTGAAGTGCACTGACGTTTTCCGTACTGATTGTTAGTCTATTATTTTTACATTGAATTGACGAAATATTTTCCGTTATTTTCCGCTCATGACAAGGATCACACGGCCGGTGTGACCGGTCAGCAGGGGATGCTCACTCCTCCATGACACCTGATCCCTCCTCTAGATCTGATGTTTTGGAGGTCCGTGTTTGCTCTGCTCCTATTTTGTATTGTTTTATGGACTTTGATATCGAATACTGTTCGCTATCTCCTTATCCTTCTTCCATATAGATGTATATGTAAGTTTAAATGTAATAGCTAAGGAACTGAATTTATTATAGTTAAATAACGTTGCTTTTCTTGCTTTATGCCATGTATTTGGATTTGTAAAAAATGCAAAGTTTATGGTTATAGAAACATATCATGCCATTTTCGGAACAAAACCTTTGAATGATAAAAAAAAAACACCCTAAAATTTAGTAATAAATTTATGCTCCTCAATGAATAAATATTCATTGGGATTCTGCGAGCCAAAAATAAATCCATACCAGATACTCAATAGTGATGCTACTTAAAAGATATGCAATCAAATATATGTTGGAGAGGATTAAAGTACATAAAAAAATTTTCCCTACTTGCATCTGAAAAATATCTGGAGATACATATATAAGGTTTTATTGTATAAAAAAGTAGGGGGTCAAAATTCTACGGGGGTCATTTTTCAACGTGTGTGGAGTCGTAGAAATACTGGTCTGGAATGTTTTTCTACAGTCGAAAAATGACCCTATTTGTCGTAGAATATTTAACCGGGGATCATTTTTCTACGTAGAAAAATGACCCCCTGCTCAATATTCTACGGGGGTCACTTTTCGTCGTTACACAGGCACCTACTGCGACACGGGACCTCGGTTTTCGGGGTCTCATACCGGTCTCCACGTCCCACAGTGGGATTCAAACTCAAGAGCAGATGATTTAACAACTGCACCACATTGTCGACCATCTACTTCTCAGAGGTTTTGATCACGTACTGACCCGCTTCAATTCCCATTTAAATTTTAAAACTTGTAATTTATTCCTTACACATTTGAGAAAATGGAATGTTTTCGAATATTAATTATTGTACTTATCGTTGATCGTAGATTTTTTTTCAAAAAAGTGACACAAGAGTAAATCGGCTTGAAAGGAGAAAATCTATAAGCCCGTGATCTAAAACAACCGAAAGCCCGTGAAGTCAAGTACACAAAGAGTGCATACGTCATTTTTGGGAGTTGATTATATCAACGAGTCTATGTCAGTGGGCCAAGACAGGAAGTGCAACTGACAAACAGCCGCCAAGGAAAATGATCATTGCGAATAAGAAAATAGTTCCCCATTAAACTTACTATAAAGAAATTATCATTCTTGACAATATAGTCCACAATCACTCTGTATTCAACTTTAGTCTGTCATTTTAATTTCTTCTTAAGCATCTGTCACCTAAATAATCATACCGATTCCGATATGTATTCATACATTGTGCATGTATTCTAATTTTAAGACAGGAAATTCCCTACTAACAAAGCGTCTGCAATATAATGAGAAAACATGATGGTATTCTGGTGGTTAAAAACAGAAAAAGTTTTGATATAGTATATTTAGACAATAAAATAATGGGCTTAATAATCAGATGTACTATAAATTTTAAAGTCAAATTGGAATACAGAAAACGAAACTTCATGTCTAGGCTAGCTGTTTTGTTTACAATACATGTGTATGTGTGCGACTGACTCAGGCTGATTGATTCTCTAATATGTGTAAAGCTTAATTTAGATAAGATCTCCCCACTGCTGCAGAAGTGACCCACTTCATAGATTAATATTACTTCTCGCCTTTTACTTTTGTGTCCGGAATGAAAGTAAATGAAAGTATACACAGGATGATTTTTATATGCGTAATATATGAAGCTTGCTAATTTCTTTTTGTGGAAAGTTGTACAGTTATACAGTATAGTGAAAGTCAATTTGCGTGATGACTGTTTGACTAAGCAAGATAAAGAGTGGAAATAGATTATTGCACATTGAGTATTTAAAGGACGTGGATGGATGTTGAGGTATCCAATTTCCCTCAAACACAGATCTGTGTAATACTAGTGCATACACATTTTGGGGAAAAAAGGCC